AGCACTGACAACCCCCATGCAGCAGCTGTCCCAGACAGACAGCTCCCAAGACGTGCCTGGGATGTTTCTCAAGTTTTGGATCAAGATGATGTCTGGAAATTGGGGGTTTTCACAATAGGCGCCTCCTTTGGGATCTGGTATTGTCGCCATCTTGTTGAGAATGCCCAAGAAGCCAGAGGTCATGACCCCCTATGCCTCAGCTTCTGTCTTTGCCCAACCATGGAAACAACTGGCACCCGGGGATGGCATCTCCACATTCATTCAGTGAGTAACTGGGGGACCACCTACTGAGCACCAGGCACCATCCTGGGCTCTGGGGAAGGCCTTTCCGGGGAGGGGACATCAGAGCAACAGAGGCCTGACAAGATTACAGAGTGAGCCTCAGGACATCTAAGATAATGATATTCCAGACAGAGGGGATAGCAGACGCAAAGGTCCTGGGGCAGGAACCTATTTGTTGTGTTTAAGGAACAGCAGGGAAGTGAGTGTGAGAGGAGCAGCAGGGAGGAGGGAGAGAGGAGGAGAAGGCAGAGGAAACATGGACTAGATCATGTAGTGCCTTGTAGGTGGCAATGGTGAGGAATTTGGATTTTATCCTGGGTGACCCAGTAGCTGCAGGGAAGAGTGATGTGAGCCAACTTGGGTTTCACAGCTGAGTCAAGAACAGTCTGTGGAGGACAGGAGCAGAGGCAGGCAGAGCCACCGGGAGCTGCGGCCAAGAGAAGGCAGAAGAGTAACTGTGAAGGGCTGGACTCTGGATAGATCCTGATGGTAGAGCCAACCGGGCTTCCTAATAGACTGGAAGTGGGGTGAGCCAACAATAACCCCAAGACTTGGCCTGAGCAACCAGGAAGATGGAGGGGCCAGCTATGGGGGAGTGAGGTAGGGTGGGTATGGGGTAGCCAGGCATTTGGCTTGGGACATGCAGGTGGGAGATCCCTGCTGGATCCACGCGGAGCAGCTGAGGGGGCAAGAGAGCAGGCCTGGCGCTGAGGGGAGAGGGCCCGGTTGCACACCACAGGCACAGTCCGGGGTTAAAGCCATGGGGACGTCACAGAAACCTGCACATGGATGTTCCCAGCAGCATTCGTCACAGCGGCCAGAAAGTGGCAGCCACCGAAGGTGAGTGAGAACAGGATGTGGTCCAGCCCCTCCACAGACTACACAGGCTTCAGGAGCAAGGCTGCGTCGGGCCACAGTGCAGGTGAGCCTTGAAGACCCCGTGTTAAACAAGGGAAGCAGACACAGAGGCGGCCTGGCTTGCAAGCCCCTCGATCTGAAATGTCCAGACAGGCCAGATCCACAGAGACAGGAAGCGGATGAGGGGCTGCCAGGGGGAGGCGGCAGAAGGGAAGTGACTGCCCATGGGCCCGGAGTTCCTTGGGGGGATGAAAATGTTCTAAAATGACTGTGGTGATGGTTGCACAACCTGTGAATAGACTAATAAAAAAAAAGAGTCATCAAGTGATGAGGCCACATGGGGAGCAAGTCTAGACAGAAAGGAGGCCCAAGGACAGAGCCGTGGACGCACCTAATGCTGGAGGTCTGGAAGTGGAGGGGCCCGCAGAGGAGGCAAAGGCGACAGGAGGGGGTGGGCTGGAGTAGTAGCTGCCCCCTTTGGTCAGACCTGCGCCTCTAGCTTGGCCCCTGCCCCGCTCCCCGGGGGCCCAGTCCCAGGCTGGCAGCTCCAAAGGGCAGGGCCTGGGCCTGGGTCTTTTGCTCACTTACTGGTCAGCCAGTGCCCCCATGAGATCTGTCCATCACCAGGAAACTCTCAGACAGTCGGTCTCCCCTGGGGCACCTGCCACTGGAGCCCTCGGGGCATCCCCCCAAACCTGAATCATTTCCCTGGAAACATCAACGGAAAACTCAACAAAGCTTAAAAATGCCAACTGTCGAGCCCAGTCCCGAGCTCAGGCTGAAATAGAATGTTCCGGCTATTCTTAGGCAATGTTCAACTTCAGCTTTTCGGGGACTGTTCCCAAAGAGGCTTTCATTCTTGCCATTTCCTTCTTTCCGCCCGCACCTCGACCCCAGCTCCTACTCAATTCAGAGTTCAGCTCTACCAAGGGACGCAGAGGGCCCATGACATCTGCAGGGCAGTCAGAACTGGAAGGGTCGAAGGGGAGGATGAGGGTTTGCCCTCAGCTGCCCCAAGTATCTGGGACTGGTTTTTAAAACCCACTGGAAAATGTGACGGAAAGGAGGAACTCGGGCGGGGGGTGAAGGATGAAGTGTTCCCCCTCGGTCCCAGCTGCTGGCTGATGCAAACATTCCTGCTGTGGGTGCCCACGGCCGGGACACTGAGCAATTCTGTAGGGAGGTGGGGGTGAGGGGAAGCCAGGGGGGAGATGGCATGCCCCACAAAACCTAAGGTCCTGCTGGCTGGTACCCCAATGCTCTCTGAGCTTCCCACCCTCCCCGTAAACACAGCTGGAGACTGAGGGAACAGGCGAGTAAACAGCCATTTGGTCCGGAGAGCAAAGCCACAACCTGGCTCCACCATTGCTTCCCGTGGACAATTATTCCCCCACCAGTTGCCGGCCAGTTCTGTTGCTCTTTGCTCTCCCAGGAATCCAGAGCCCAAGAATTCCACCAGGCCCCAGGCTGAGTGGGATCACGAAAGCCTGGGCCTCACCTGGAGAACGTCCCTGTACCCACGGGGCGAGCCTCACTGAGTATTAAAATATGCAATGAAAAGTGCTATTCCTCGTGCCCACTGGCACCCCAGACATTTCCAAGAAACAGAAAACGAAGGGCTGACATCTAGGTGAGCCCCGGCTAGGTCCTGGCGCTGGAGCTGGTGGTTCCTCTAATGGGTCCAATATTGAAGGTTTTAAAACCCAGGAAATGAGGAGCAGACCAGGCACTCAGCCACAAAACACAAGGCCACTGACCACCCCAGACCCTCACTTCCCAGACACCCTACCACCTGGCAGCTTCATTACCCAAAGGGCTTCCCCACCGGCAGTGTGGCCTAATGCCTAGGGGAGGGACTCTGGAGTCAGGCTCTCCAGGTTTCATCACAGCTCCTCCTGCTTGCGTAGTGTATGGTCTTCAGCAGGCCACTCCCTTTCTCTGTGCCTCAGCTGCCTCATCTCAAAAACGAGGCTAATCACTTGCCTAAGGTTCGGTGAGAATCACGTAAATAAGTGCTCAATCATCGTAACAACCCCATCAGGACTATGAATACATATTCTGTAGTACAGGTGAGAAACTGAGGCACAAGGAAGCAGCCGGCCCAGGGCAGGACGCTGGTAAGTGTCAGCACAGCAGCTCAAGCCCAGGCGGCCTGTGGCGGTGGCGGCTGGCTCTACCCCAGGGACCGGCAAACTTTTTCTGAAAGGGCCTGATAGCTGGCCACATCCGGTCTCTGTCACATATTCTTCTTTGTTTGTTTTTACAGTTTGCTTTTGTTTTGTTTTTCCAACCCTTTAGAAAACGTAAACACTGTTCTTTGCTCGCTCACGGATTGTACAAAAACAGGCCCTGGGTCAGATCTGCCTCTCCCGTCACAGCTCCGCCAACCCCTGCCCTAAACCACTGCAGTATTCTACCTCCTCAGCGCCGGCGACGAATTCAAGTTTGGAAGACACATCACGAAGGTCAAATGCAGCGGACCTGCAGGGCCCATTCAGCGCACAGGCTACCTAACAAGCCCCGCCTGCCGCTCCTTCCACACCAAGGCGCAGCACTGACTGCCACGGTATTTCCAGCATCTGCCCTGGATGTAAGCAGCTGCAAAAGCTGCAGAAGGTCCTTCTGAGACCCCTGGGAGGAAAAGCAGCAGCAGGCCAGCGGAAGCAGGGGACAGTCACGTCCACTGCCCATGGCTACTCGCCAAAAAGCCTGTGTTCACAGGCAGAGTGGATGCCCAGGGTCTGGTCCAGCTCAAAGGCTCAGATGCCACCCACCTCGCCAGCAGTCAAGTTCAAGAATTCCCTCGCACCCTTTCCCTCTCCTCTCAACTCCCGCTCTTCACGGAACAGGATGTGTGTGGCCCTAGTGGGCAGGTGCATGAATGAGGCACCACCAGCCAAATGAATCCAGCAGCAAGCACACCAGGGGCCAGACACGGGCCCTCCAGGCGGAGCAGGGCCGGCTCAGGCCGACAGCCGTCACCTCTGAGGGACCCAGCGCTGAGAACAGCAGATGGTGGCAGAGCCACGCCAGCTGGGGATCTGCCCAGAAGTCAACTCTAAAGCTGAAATTCAAGGTGCTCAGGCCCCTGATTCTCTCTAGGCAGCAAATCGTCCCCTGGTGGCCATGACCAAGGCCAGCCAAGGTAGATGGTTACAGTTTGCCCTCCCTGCTTCTGGGCGGCTCCATAAATGGCCCAGATTCCTGCAAAGGAGGAGTCCATCTATCCCCCTCATAGAGTTTTTGGGGTGTGGGACCCAGAGATTGGTTGGAGGCTGGAGCACATGACACAAATCTAGGCCAGAGTTCACTTGCTCCCTGATGGGTTGAGGGGTAGAGCACCTGACTGTGATCCCACTCAGAGTGCAACACTGCTGCACACTCTCACTGCCATGTCTCGGCCAATCAGAGCTCAGCACTGCCCTGGTCATAATGCTTAGGGTGAAAGGCCAGTCTAGGGCTATGGGAGAAAGATAAATGGCACAAAGGCTTCATGTTACTGGTTCCAGTTACAGCTCCTGACTTGGGTCCAGACCACATTCTCCTGGCCAGACTGAGTGACTCTCAGCACTCTGTCAGAGCCACTAGCAGAGATGTTCACTCTTTCCCAGCGCCCTTGAACTCAAGAGGATGTGAGGCGGGAGTAACTGTGATCACCTGCTGTCACACTGGAAAGAAAGCAGAAGAGTTGAAAGCAAAATTGAACTGGGAGAAAGAGGCGGATCCTAGAGCATGCAGTCCAAAGCCGAGCCTGCCCGATGTCCCAGCTACCTGCACTACCAGATTTTTGTGATGAAGCCCATCAGAGCTGGGTTTTCTGTCACCTCAAAGACAGGAAAGGAGTCAGGCGAAGGGCTCACCTTGAGGAGGAGGGGGTATTTGCAGATCCTCTGAATCGGAGACAGCAGGTAGCCTTCCAAAGGGATGTCGGTGGTCTTCCGGCCTCCCAGAAGCATGCAGCTCTGCAAAGGGACAGGAAAACCTTCATGAAAACTCAGCAAGTACGGCAAAGGGATCTGTCTACCCCCAAGCAACCCAGGGAAACATTCCAGAGGCAGCCACAGACTCTGAAAGCAACAGCCAGAGAGATAGGCTATGACTGTTCTGCCACCCAGCACAAAGGCTGCAGCAGGGCGGTAACTGATGGCCTGTGGACCAAATACTGCTACTCCCCACTTTGGCAATTAGTTTTACCAGCCACTCACATCCATTTGTTTACATGTGGCTACTTCCAAGCTATCATGGCAGAGCTGAGGGGTGACCATAGAGTCACAAAACCTAAAATATTTACTATCTGACCTTTTACAGAACAGCTTGCCAAATCCTGATCCACAAACATGCTCTCAGAGACAGGAACATGGACATTCAAGAGCGTCTTGTTTAGAATAGCAAAAACGGGAAGCAAATTAAATACCCCGCCCACAGAAAAATATGTTTGTAGTAGATTTATAATAATGGCACACTAAGGATACCTAAAGCTATGCCAGACAACATGGATGAACTTCAAATCACACTCTTGAGCAAAAAAAGAGAAACAGAAGAATGTGTACATTATGAACCTACTTATATAAAGCTTTTAAAGACACCCAGAACCAAACCAGGCCTTATTTATGGAGAACACATATGTTGTAAAATACAAAGACATGCATGGGGCAGAAATGTATCAAATTCTAGTGGGGGTACCTCTGTGGGGAGAGGGTAACCGGATTTGGAAAGTGAACTTTGAATCCTCAACCTCTACAGAAAATTTTATTTCTTTACCTAGAAGGTGGGTACACGATCATCATCACACAAATCTCTATCTGGACTTGCAGGCTGAAAACCAATCTCAGTCAGAATCAAAAACATCACCCGCGGGCCACACCACTCCTGGCCTCACTATGGTTTCAGGGTCCACCTGCACCTGCCCATCCAGCACGTCCTTCATGCCAGTTCCCTTTCCTGTGCTCATTCTGTGCCCCCACCCTACCTAAGTGCTTTTTCTTCCCCCCAAAATAACAATTATACCATCATCATCATCCATCGCTGATGCTGACCAAGACCTAAGATGTGCCAGGCAGACCAGACCCCCAAGGGCTCATTCTCCCTGTGGACTGAAAACCATCATTACTCTCACTTCTCAGTTCAGGCTGGAGAGATTCAGTGTTTTCCCCCGAAGGTCACCCCAGAACAAGTGAGCCACAGAAGTGGCACCTAGCCCCAGGCAGGCTGATTAAGAGTTTGGTCTTGGAAGTATAAGGCCAGGCTGCCTTTACTCAAAGTTGGTTCAGCCACACCACCTCCAGGAAGCCTTCCCCAACCACTTTCAACACCCAAGACTCCCTCCTGGCACTCCCATTAGTTCATATGACTTTGCATCATTTATAGGTACTGCCCTCTCCTTTGGAGCCCTTTTGGAGGCCAGGGGATCCTTTTTAGGATGCCAGGAACCATGAGTTACATGTCTGTGGTATGCCAGTGTGTCCTCCACAGACCTGGCATGAATGCATGAATGAGCAAATGAATGCTACCAGCCTTCAAGGGATCTCAGCCTTCCTCAACACCACGGCAGTAGACTGCAAAAGAAACAGGATGCGAGGGGAAAAGAATCCCCATACTAGCATTTATTCATTCCTTCACTCGTTCACTCATTCTATAAACATACTTGCAAGCTTATGTGCACTGGGCACAATTCTAAGTACTCGGGGGACAGCCCAACAAAGCAGACAAATTCCCTGCTTATAATCCAATGAAAGCAAGAGCTCACCATGCACTGGGCCCTGTGCCTCATGCCTCTCCTATAAGTCAAGTTCATCTTCAAGTCCGAGAACAAACAGGGACCATTGTCTCCCATTCCAGGTGGGAAACTGGCACAGAAAGATGCCAGGACTGGCCCAAATCTCAGAGATCCATCCACTGCCTCTCAGGGATCTCAAAAGGCTTTCTCCTTGCAGAAGCAGAATCCTGGCGACCCCGGGGTGCTGCTCTGGCAGGAGCTGCATGGCTCTTGTCCCCGTGTCGACCCCTGGCACAGACGGGGGATCAGGGCTGTGGCAGCTGGGAGATGCCAGGCCCCACACTGCTCACACTCGGGTCTTTGTCCTCCGAGCCAGCGCTTGCCACAAGCTGCCCTGGTGATGTCAGCTCCGGGCAGAGAGAGGGAGCCTAGGGGCGGGGAGTGCTTCCCAGAAGCCCCCAGGGCTTGGCAAGAGAAGGGTCTTCTCTTTGCTGGGAATCAAGGAGTTTCCCCAAATCTATCATAGCCACCACCTACGCTTCTCCCCTAACATGGCGGATTGTTCTTCTACTTTCTTTTCACTGAAAACGCAGACACACACAGAGCTACCATTCACTGTTCTGTAGGATTACACTGCAGTCACTATGGGAAGAACTTTTGAGAATTCGCTCTTTAAACCTCCTAACTCACAGGCATGAGAGGTGTCGACCTCATCATCTTCCCAGCCTCCTGGCTACCGCGAGGCCCCGGGTCTTCCTTTCCACTCACGTGTTCCCTGGCTGATCTCGCCCACCCCGACCACTGTGCCACCATCTTCATGCAGAGAGGGCTGGGGTTTCTAGCTCCAGCCTGGCCCTTCCCTTCCCTGAACTCCACACACAGTCTGGTTCCATGCCCACCCCGCACCTGGCGGTCCAGCAGGCCTCGTAAACCTCACACGTCAAAATGGAGTTTCTGTATCTATCTCTGAGACCTGCTCCTACCCCAGCCTTCCCCCCGCGCCCCACCCCCCGTGGGAAAGTGCAAGTCCATTCTCCCAGTTGTTTGGGCCCCAAACGCTGGAGTCATCTGTGACAACACAAGTTCATTTATACCCCAAAGCCAACCCTAGGGCAAACCCTCCAGCTGCACTCTCAAACCCCAGCTCAAACCCTGCCATCCCTCCCCATCGCCACCCTCAGCCACCATCATCTCCTGCCTGGTCTGCTGCGCTGGCCCTGTCCAGGGCTGCTCAGTGTCCCCGCAGATGCCACCCTTAAAGAAGAGAAGTCAAGAGATTTGAAGGAGGTGGAGCAAGGGACCCCTGAAGCCATCAGAGCTGGAAAAGGAAAGGCAGGACCTTTCCCCAGAGCCTCTGGGGAGCAGGGTCCTGCTGCTTCCTTGACTGCAGGCTTGTGGCCCCAGAACTGCGAGAACCAACTGTTGTCTGAAACCTCCCCAACCCCCAGTTTGCAGCATGTTTCTGAACTGTAGGAACTAGCACTGGCCCCATCCTGGTCTCCCTGCTTCTCACACAGCCCAGGGGAGCTTTTGAAAATGCAGATTAGTTCAAGTTGTTGGCTGCTCCAAATGCTCCCGTGGCTTCCCACCCCACTCAGACTAACACTGCAATGCTGAAAGGAACCACATGCTCCAACATGGAGGAACCGACAGGCAGCGTGTGGCACAGGAGACGCCAGACATGGAAGCCTCTCATATGGTTCCATCATGTAAAGTTCCAGAAGAGGCAAAAGGAATGTCTGGTAAGAGAAACTGGCATGAAGATTATCTCTGGATTTGCAGGGAGGTGACCAGCACAGGGCACAAGGGAACCTTCCGGAGAAATGGAATCATTCTAATTCTTGGTCACCTGGGTAGACACGTGCGTAAACACACGTCATGCTGGGCACATATGCTGGGCATCAATAAAGAAGCCTTTTCATAAATCGCGGGTCCTTCTCGTTGTCTAAATCCTTTTGTTTCCTTATCTGGACTCTCGATCTTTCTAATCGCATTTCCTTCCACTTTTCCTCTCTTGCTTTCCATTGCAGGCATCTGACCACCTGGATTTTTTTTTGTTTTGTTTTGTTTTATTGCGGTAGCAGTGGTTACCAGCACCATCTATGATGCAGAGATAGGGGACCCCACCTCTTGAGAGGCATGTCACCACACCACACCCCCTACCTCCTCCAGAGTCCATGCCCCCCTTATCCCGCATCCTCCCCCTCCCTCTCTGGTAGCCTTCATTCTACAGCCACACTTCCAGGGTTTGTTGTTAGTTTGGTTCTGCATGACCCTTTGTTATGTTTCTCTAATTCTCTATAGAAGCAACACCATAGAAGCAACACCATTTCTCCTTCTGGCTTATTTCACTTAGCATCCTCCCCTCTGGTTCTATTCACGTTGTTGTAAGGGGCAAGATTTCATCTTTTTTATAGCTGAGTAGTATTCCGTTGTGTATAGCACACATCTTCTGCATCCACTCCTCTCACTTTGGGCACTTAGGTAGTTTCCATAACTTGGCTATTGTAAATAGTGCTACAGTGAACATGGAGGGGGGGCATATATTCCTTCAAATGAATGCTTTTGCATTCTTCAGGTAACTAAATAGGAGTGGAATTGTTGGATCACCTGGTATTCTGATCCAACAAATATTTTTAAGATTTTGAGAAAGCTCCACATTGTTTTCCATAGGGCCGGACCAGTCTATATCCCCACCAACAATGTAGGGGGGTTCCTATTCTCCACCCTCACCAGCACCTGTTGTTTCTAGTCTTTTTGACACAGGTTATTGTCATAGGTGTGAGATGGCATCTCACTTGGTTTGGACTTCATGCTATTCCTAAAACAGACTCCTGCCTCAGGGCCTTTGCATTTACGGTCCCTCCAACCTGGAATGCCTTCCTCTCGGATACCTTTCGTTTCTCTCTCCTATTTTATCCAGCTCTCTGATGACAGGTCACCTAGGGCACAATTTTCCTAAAGACTGATTTAAAATAGCGGCCGCCACCCTCACTTCCTCAAAACATCCTGCCAGACTTCCTTTATGTCCTCCAGAAAAGCAATGCCACGTGACATGGCACTAAGTCTGCTGACGAGAAGGGCCTCCCCCAGGGAGAGAGGCTGCCTTGCCCTGGTGACTATTGTGGCCCCAGTACTTGATATGATCCCGACCACATGGAAGGTGCTCAATAAGAAGCTGCTGGATGAATGAATGAATAAATCATCCCCATTTTACAGACCAGAAGGCCAACGCACAGAAAGAGGAAGTCCCTGTCCCATTCTCAGCGAGGGCACTGTGTCACGAATGGAAAGCCAGATCCGATCTCTTCCCAGTGCCTCAACATCCCATAATAAACTCAAGACAGCTCTTCTGCAGGTGGCCAAAAGCTGGGAGATGGCAAGGAGGGAGACAGATGGCACGTGTGCTGGCGCCTCACACACCCCCCTCCCCTGCCCAACGGGGCCAGCCCAGCTGCTGCAAAGAAAATGGCAGTTTGGCCCACAGGCAGGCTGCAGGAGAGAAGGGGGGTACAGAGGGAAAAGCAGCCCTTCCCTTCTCACACCCTTGCAAATACCTTCCTGGCATCTTCGTTTAACGATACAGCTGTGCCAAGGAGATACCCCCAGAGATGGGGACCCTCCCCCAGGGGCCCAGAGCCCGGCCAGCAGGGACCATGGTGGCCGAAAGTCAGATGGCAGACGCTAACACGTGCGCTCTTGCACTAAACAACTTCATCTCTGCCTTTTGCCCAGACAATTTAATGAATGTAAGTGCAAGACTGGAAATATAACGCTGCAGATATCAGTGATGAGAAGCATCAGTTGCGAATGCTTAAGGCACTTGAGACAAAAGTGGAAATCAGTCAGCCAATCTGCCCTTCCTCAGATGCTCACTGGAAGGGGGCCAAGTAGCGTGGACTCGCTGCGAAGGAAGCAGACATTTTGAATCAAAATTCTGGAAATACTTTGTTGGAGATGGTACATTAGGGAGGAGCATAATTAAGAACTTCATAGTTTAGCTCTCCAGGCACAGTTCGCTCTCCTTTTGTGTGCTGAATTTTGCATGTGCTGTCGGGAAATGAAATGGGGGAGGGGCGTGCTGGTGGTCTGTGACTGAACAAACAGGGAATTTAAGGGTGAAAGGCCGGGATTGGATCCCATGAGATGTTCAATTACTTTTCAAGGACAGGTTTCGCTCACTATCTAAACGTAGAAAATTTCTGTTTGATATGATTTGGTAGGTTATTTTTTTGTGACTATGAATGCTATACCACCGATTTACACGGAACATTTTTTGAGCATTCCCAAACCCAAAAAATAACCAAGTGAATCATACCAAATAGGAATGTTCTACTTTTGGGTAGTGGGAGAATCCTATATGTACTCTTGGAAAGTCACTCACTGTTTTGGGGTCTTCAGAATCACCCATGGCAAAAGCAAACAGATTCTTCTTCCACAGCAACAGAATCTTCAGCTGGGCACATGGCCGCCCAGAAGAAAACCGTATTTCTCAGCCTCCCTTGGAGCTCAGTGTGGCCATGTGGCTAAGGTCTGACCAACAGGATGTGAGCAGAAGAGCTGGGTGCAGCTTTCTGTTGTGCCCTTCAAAGGAGAAGAGCAGCCCCTCCTCCCCACCCACCCTGCACCCCACTGCCAGCAGTGTGGAAGTGGTGAGAGGTTGTCTTAAACCATGTCAAAGTCTAAAACAAACCCAAGGGCCTTGGCCCCCAACACTGGGGCCCTTGTGCCAGCCCCAGGACTGACTACACCCATGTTGTTAACATGAGAGCAAAATAAATGTCTACTTTGTTTAAAGCACCGTTATTTGGGACATCAGCAAAGCAGGCAAATATCTTAAGTCATACCCAGCAGATAATGAGTGATAAGGCTCCAAGATCACAAATGAACCTATTTCATATACAAGGGAAGCTCTGTAATTTTAGGGAAGACCATTATGGATGTCTATAGCTTGACCTGACCAACGTCCATTCCCAACTTACTTCTACAAGTGCCCACCAACTGTCCTCGGGATGCAGCCCTGTGGTATGGGTGGGAGTTGAGCCCACCACCCAGCTCTAGAAGTGACCAATCAGAGCACCAGCCAATCCCTCTGTCTCCAGAAACTGGTCCGGAGATAAGGTAGTAAGCCAAATTGAGCCAATGATCATCTGACCCAGGATTCTTGCTTTTACCACTGGGAGAGAGGCGCTCTCTCTAACTGGAGTTGCTGGACTATGAGAGGTATAAGCATAAAGGCAGGAGCTCTCCAGGCCATGTTGCCCCAGCACTGAAGGGGGAGCCCAGCACTGGGAATAGAGCCAAAGCAGAGAAAAGCAGAGCCAAGAAACACACTCCTGATGACATCATTTATTTGAACACCCCGATTTTGCTATGCCTGAAGTCCCCTCAGATCTTAAAACTTCCCAGAAAAGTAAACCAGTAAATTTGTTTTCTTTTGGCTTACATCAATTTTAACTTGATTTTCTTACACTTATAATTAAGTAAGCCTAATAATGCAACCATTACTACTGCTGCTACCACTCTTATTAGGATCATTACTTCAGAACAGGAATTAACACACTTGACCAATCCAGTCCACTGCCTGTTTTTGTAAATAAAGTTTTACTGGAACACAGCCATGCTCATTCCTTTACATATTACTTATGGCTGCTTTCAAGCTACAACAGCCAAGTTCAATTCATGTGAAAGGGACTGTATGACACACAAAGGCAAAATATTCATTGTGCCCCTTTACAGAAAATGTCTGGTAGATTACCATGGATTACCCCTGCCTGAACACAGATGGGCAGCACAGGTGTAGCCAGAACCTCCCTTGTGCCCGGAGATTCGAAGCCTGTAGCAGTGAGGGCAGACTTACCAAAAGGAAGGCGCGCACAGTGGGGATCTTGTTCAGCTCCACCAGTAGCCGCAGAGCCTTCTCGTGATTGCTGCAATATTCCTCATACACACAGAACTTGTCCTTCTGCAAGACAAAGGCATAGGCTGTGACATCACAGCAGGAAAGCAGACTCTCTGAGGTGTGCCTCGGCTGGGCCAGGAGGCCCAAGGGAGGAAAGAACCACCCAGGCCCTGACACAGGTGAAGGGATTTTAGGTCAGGGGCTCCCATCTACTACGGGGCTCTTGGGCCTCCTCCTGCCCCAGTTCTGCACCCAGCAGCCTGAGGAACATTCCAGGAAGCAGGATGGCCTGAGGTCAAGTGCACAGACATAAGCCAAGAGGCCTGGCTTGTACCCTGGCTCTATATTTCCAGGTATAAACTTGGGTGCGTTAGTTGACTTTCCTTGTCTCGGCTTCCTCATCTGTAAGGGAGAGTGAATAACAGTCCCTAACTCATGGAGCTGCTATGAGGCGTACGTTAAAATACAATATTCAGCCTATCATAACTGCTCAATAAATATCCATCTTTCGTCTAAAAACAAAAGTTAGACTGTGTCACTCCCCTGCTTAAAATGCTCCAATGGTGTTCTATTTCCCTACCAACATCACTGTGATAGCCTTCGAGAGCCAGGTAATATGGCCCTGCCTTTCCCTGAACTCATCTCACTGGCCTTCCATCTGAAAACCTTGAATTTGCCATGCTTGTTCCTACCTCAGGGACTTTACTCATGCTGTCTGTTACCTGGAACACTCTTCCCCTTCCCGCCCCCTACTATCCTAGCTAAAGTAGCCACCAGGTGTTCTCTATCATCCATTCACCTGTTTTCATTTTCTTTATAGTGTTCTCACAATCTGGAATCACCCCAATTATTTGTTTATCTTCTGTTTCCAAGTTGGCAGTCAGTTCCCTGAAGGCAGTAATCATATCCGTCCTGTCCACTAAGGTATTCCCAGATCCTAACACAGTGCTGGCAACAGTGGGCCCCCCATGAATACATGTTCAAAGAATGAACTTTACATAGCTACTATGTGCATTGCCATACATACACACATACACACACACACACATCACTGAAAGTGAGCCAAGCAAGATGAAGTCACTGTAAAGGTAGCATACATTTTGAATACAAATTCTGGAAATATATCTATGTGTGTATGTATACTAGAAGAGTCTAGATAAGGCTCAGGAATTTGGGGAAACAAGCAGATCTCTCGTCACTGCCACATAGTAGTGGCCTTCTGATGTTCCTGAGTCCACAACTGGATTCTTTCCAGCCGAGAGGTCACCTGCGAGTCACCAGGTTCATAACTATCAAACAGGGTTTCCGGAACTAGAAGGGATAGGAGTCTTAGCAGGAAGCTTCTCCACTGAGCCTTCTCAGTTCCAAACGGCTCGCTGTCTCGTACCCTGCCAAACCCCAAACAAGGATGTCCTGGGTAAAGTCACTGGGGAGGAAGGGCTGTAGGGTCTCGACCCTGAGCTGGGCTGGGGGTGGGAGACAGGAGACACCAAGAAGCTAAGGAAGGAAGAGGTGGGTCTGCAAAGCAAGCAGCCCGTCCTGTTTCTAAACAAGCCCCCAGTATCCTGCAGATGCGTGGCTGCAGGAAAGAGGAAACCAAAGAGGAGGGAGAATGGGTTTCACAATCAGTAAGCACCCGAACTAACTCCAGCTCACTTAGGGGGTGCCATGTGCACCATCTGAGCAGCATCCTTGTCCTGAGCACAAAGTACCTGCACTCAGAGTCAAGGAATGTGTGCTGAACACTTAGTACATGGGGAACCTTCTTGGATGAGGGTCAGCTCATTCACTTCTGGATGCAATAACCTGACATGGTACTTACTGGATTGGACCCACTCATACATGGGAAGCCCAGAGCACAAGCCCAGGTCCTCACACCTAGTGAAGTGGCAGAGCCAGACTCCGTCTCTCTTAGCCCCTATGCTGATGTCCAGCTCAAAGTCACAGCATAGGATGGGGATGGGAGTGGGTGAAAAAAAAATACAGGGAACTTCGAGGGGCACCACAGACAATGACAACATGCACAGTGACTCTAGAATCTGTCCGCCAGGTTTAAAAACCCAGTTCCACACGCCCCAAGATGTGGGTGACCCTGGGCAAACCGCCTGTTCCCTTTGCTTCAGTCTCTTCATCTGTAAAATAGACCTAATAGCAGACCACCCATCTTCCTTGGGCTGCTGGAGGATTAATAAGCATATATGTAAAATGAGTAGAACAATGACCGGTGCATGTGAATGTGATATAATATTTCAAAATACTTCAAAAATATTAGCTATCAACACACATGAACCAATGGGGAAAAATACCAAAACAAACAATGTCACAGTACTCCAAAGAGTGCACACAATACACACACCAAGGACAAACACCCCTGATACATATTCCAAGGAACCAACAAACAACCTGAGGCATTACAACACACAAGCTACATGCTCCAAACAACATCACTAAAGTCAGTCACCAACTACAGTCTCCTCATTGCCTGCGGCCAATTGAGTCACACACATGCATGCACACACGAGCACACACACATAAACACACACACAGAGGCAGGGAGGGAGAACTGACCCCTAGCCTCCCCTACATTGCCCAAGCAGACCCTTTTCGTTTCCATTTATCTCCAATGAGCAGATAGGATCATTGAGGCAATAGAGATGGGTGAGAACTCATCTAGGACTCACCCATCTCAAATAAAAAGATGAGAGGGAAGCTGACAGATACATATGGAGCCAGGGTCTCAGCTGCAGGCCATAGTTAGGCAGGCTACAGGGAAGAAGGAAAGGACTTTTCTTGTAGGTGACAAGAATTGGCCTGTGCCTGGGAGTCTGCTCCTGCAGAGAATGGCTGCAGAGCTCAGGAGGAGGCTGGGCTCTGAATTCAGGCTCATGAACGACAGTCAGAGATTCCAACCATTTGCAGAGAGCTCTCTCTGCAACCCAGAATTTGGGCTTTCCCTGGACCTACAGACCCTGATATTATTAGTACTGCTCCCAGATAACACACCAGGCCCCCATGACCACTACTAGTACCAACCCTGTAAGGCTGATATAAGATTCCAAGCCATGGGCCTCCCTTGGTGGCGCAGCAGGTTGAGCACCACACTGTGAAGCTGTCTGCAGCCTCTGCAGTGCCAGTTCGATCTCAGCCGGCCGGCAAGGGTCTCACATGGTGAAGCAGACCTCACCTGTCTCACCTGCTGCTCCCCTCAGCAGTGTATTTCTGTCATCTGCCTGTTCTGCTCCCCACTCTGCCTCCGGTGGGTCCTCTCACTCTCCCATGCTTCTGGCCTCTACCCCAGCTCTTGTTAAAAATAAATAAAACTTTAAAAAAAAAAAAAAGATTCCAAGCCATGATGTGAGGTTCTGAGCAAGACCACCTGGGTTTACAGCCTGAACCCCCAAGTCACCAACTCCTAATGACTCAGAACCTCTGTGTTCTCATTTACAAAATTATAGATACTTTATATCAATAATACTATACAATGATGACCTCTGTCATCATAAAGTTTTTGTAAGGATTATCAAGTGAATTCACAGCAAGAGCTTTAAAGTTGGGATACAGCATGTGCTCATTAAATATTAGATTATTGCTGTTACTGATGTTGTTGTTATCATCATCACTATTTTTTCAGCAAATTCATTATCCTATTGGTGAATCAGTCTATGACAGAGTGGGCCAGAAACAAATCTGTTTATTCTCATGTCAACCCCAATCAATGACTAGTGCTGACAGCTACACTGGGAAGAATTCTGGAGCCCTTTGGGAAGCAGAGGTAGAATTCTGCAACTGATTAGTGATGTCTGCTTAGATGCAGGTGAGGGCAGTGATAAGATAGCTGCAGGCTTGTTATTCCTCATACCCTGAGTCCTCTGACACAGTCTGTGTTGTGATACTCTCTTCCTTCAGCCTATGAACAGGGCTCAGAGAAGTTAAATTTAGCACATGACAACACCCCTTCTTCAAACCCATGGCCCACTCCATCACTCCCAGGTCCTTTCATTGAGCCCAACCCCAGCCACTCTCAGGCCCCAGACCCTGCAAATATGGAATTGCTGCCTGTGACAGCTGGGGTCCACGTGTTCCATTTCCTCCTAAGAGCCCCACACAGGGCTTTGTTTTGCCAGGAAGAAACGGACAAGCAGTTGTGCGTGCACAGATGCGGTGGATGGGGAACGTGTGGCTGTGGCTTGGGCTGTAACAGAGAAGGTGACAGCCATCGCCTGGGGGAGAGGGTCTGGGCCCCAGAGGTGGTGACTGCTATCCACAGTAAGGTGGGGGGGGGGGTCCATGGAGACCATCTGCTCCCAATCACTTACTTCATTCCCAGAAAGACTGAGACTCAGAGAAAAGAAGGGGCTGGCCAGATGGCATCGCCCCCAGTCGGGAGGTGAGCACAACATTCAGGTCTGACTTCTGCAAAGGTTTCCCCAAACTATCACACAGCTGGGGGAGGAGGGGTTAGAACATGGACCATGCTGCTTCCCAGAGAAACAGCTCGTAGAACAGAAACCCTGGGGAATCCAGCCCCCCTCCAAGACACCCGTGAACTCCCTCCTTCACTCACTGCACTCCAGCCACAGGGGTCTCCCTGCTTGGCTCCATTCCAGGGTCTCCACCCCAGCTATCCTCTCCATCAGAACACCCCCCACCCCCGTTCACCCCATCTCACCAGGCCTTCCGTGATCAGAGCTGCCAGAGACAGCACCACGGCCTGGGCACTGACTGTGCCTGGAGCTGTCCAACATCTTGCTCAACCCTCAGCATCACCAGTTACATCCAGCCTTTTACCCGTTTTACAGGTGAGGACACTGAGGCACGGACAAGTTGTTGACGGTACCACCAACTGGCAAGGGACAGCCCTGCCAACACCAGAGCAGACAGTCACGTCCTGGGGGCTGTAACTCCCAAGGGCGGGGCCACACAAGGCTGTCACACCAGTCTCTGTCCACCACCCTGGGATCCGTGGAGAAGGGAGTCAGTGACAGTGATGTGCACAACGACCACGATGAGTCTTTTCCTCAGCCCAAGAAGGGGTCTGGTTAGAAGGGGAAGTAAGGCTCCGAGGGGCCAACAGCTTGCCCCAAGCCTCATGCCCAGGGACAAGGGCAGACTTCCAGAAGAGGGCCCCAGAGGGGAATGGAAAGGGGTTGCTTCATGTGGGCTGAGCACCCCACCCTCCTTCCTCTAGCTGTCACCCCACAATTCTAAGTGATTTGGGAATCCTGAGGAAAGAGAGGCCTCTCTGGCCAGGAGCCCAAGTGGACACCCAAGAGGCAGACACTCCTGGTGGTCAGGGGCAGGATTCACACTCAGGTCTGACTTGAGTCCACCCTCTTGGCCAGTGGTGGTCTCCGCTGGACATTCTGGGGCAGAAGGGCCCGGCAGGGCCAGGGGTCCTGGGAGTCCCGGGCACACAGCCACACAGCCATTCAGCAAGGGGCTCTGAGAAATGGAGCCGCGCTCCATGGGACGCCAAGAGGCGGGCAAGCCAACTAAGAATTCCCCCAGCTGTGGGCCCCGACCCACTGTCCATTGTTCCTGGAGCAGAGGCAGGGCCCGCCTGCCCACTGCATCCTGCCCGCCATGCCCCAGACAGGCCTACAGAGGAAGCTGGCCAAGGGTCAGCGGAGAGGGACCCAGGGAGAAGCCCACTTCCCCAAAGCTGCAGGCTCCGATAGGGGCTGGGCCATTGTACTCACAAATTTTAAGAAAACATTCCCAAGTTCATGCTGAGACTGAGGCTCCGGATGTAAACAATACTCCAGGGCAGCCAGGAAGTCCTTGTGAACCTCCAGGATGTCTTCGATGTTCGAGAACAGGACCTGGGAAGACAAGTGAGGCCCAAGGAGAGTGTTAACAGAGGTAAAGAGGGAGAGCGAGCTCAAGCAGGAAAAACAACAAGGACCCCCTGACGCAGCTGAGTGTGGCTAAGGGGGTCCTCTCAGAACCTGGGCCACTTTACCAGCCATAGTGAGGACAAACACAGTACCAACGTTTACTAAAGAGGATTAGGGCCTAATCCTGTGATAAGAACTTTATATGCAGCTAATCCTCACTATAACTCCCCCAGGCAGAAATCGAACTCTCACACACGATAGAAGACTACCTGTTACCCCGTGTGAATCTATAGGTTGCACATATAATCAGATTCAGCCATCCCTCGTTTTATAATTTTATGTTTCAATCAGTTGTTTCTCACCAGGGACAATTTTGCCTGCCAGAGGGCATTTGCCAAGACCGAGGAACATTTGTGGTTGTCACAAACTGGAGTGGGGGTTGGCTGCGAGGGAGGGGAGCAAGACAGTTGCTACTGGCATCTCATAGGTAGAGACCAGGGATGCTGCATCCTACAATGCAGAGGACAGGACCCACAGCAAAGTATTATCCAGACCAATTGTGTCAGTAATGCCAAGGTGGAGAACCTGGTGGTGTCCAAGGACAAGGACATAGATGACAGTCTTATTTGCAGAAGCAAAAGTTATTCATGGGAACTGGTCGGCAGTTAAATATACTGGACTGGTTGCAATTCAATAAATTCCATGTGCTGGAATACTATGCAGGTGGTAAAAACAATCTGCAGTTTTGTATACGTGCATATGGGATCCTGGAATGACCCTCAATCTATACTGTTCAGGCAGTTGGGAGGGAGCACAGCATTACTGAACACGATGCCAGTGTGGGTCGGTTTGTAGACAGTAACACAGGAAAGGCCAGTCCTCACTTTGCCGGCAGAAGCAGAGACAAGCCAGACAAAGACACAACCTGGCAGGTGGAGGGGCCGTGAGGAGGAAAACAAGGGGAGACTTTCATTTACTTTGGGTACTTTTGAAGTACATACATTCCTTTTTCTGTTTTTGCTTTTTTTGTTTGGTTGTTTTTTAGGGGAAATAAAGCAGAGGGCATTTTTCATTGAATTTTGAAGAAAGCACACTCATGGTTGAAAAACCAGAACAGTAAGATGAACACATTGAGGAGACCCTCTCCTGGCCATCCCCCATCCACACAGGCCTACAACCAGAATTACCAGGGTGTTTTATACGTCCATCCTTTCAGCAAGTATGGCCTGAGCACCTACTATGTGCAGGCACTGTTGGAGGGTCTGGGGCTACAGCAGGGAACAGTCAAGTGTGTGCCCCCACGGAGGCCACATTCTAGTGGAAGAGGACATACAATAAAGTATGCTGGGTGGAAGGAAGCGTTAAAGACAAAAATAAAACAGGAAGGGAGCCCTAGGGGAGAGCAGGAGGAGAAGTTTGCCAATGATTCAGAGACAGTTACTCTGAGAAAATGACATTTGCAGCACGACCTGAAGAAATGAAGATTGACCCATGGACCTGCCACATGCACCGGACAGTCTGCAGAGGGAGATGGCGTGAGGGTGGGCGGGCAAGGCTGAGGGACAGAGACCACCCCTCAGTGGCTACAGTCTGGGAGGGCCAGGGAGACTTCCTCCTCGGCCACACCCCAGGGGGCACCCATCACGAAGACCACAGAGTTTGGTTCTTTTCCTCTCTCTCATGTTTATGCAGCTCACATGGTTGAATCTGCTTAATGTTTAAAAAAAAAAAAAACCAACATATGATGGATCCTATTGCTATGCTTCAAGGAATGGCTGCAAAATTTTAGAATAAACACTTCTCCTGAGGTTATACCCAAAAGAAACCAGAGTCCATCTCCACCAAAAGATATAGATGAGAATGCTCACATTCTTAGCCAAGAACTAGAAACAACCCACACATCTGTCCACAGAATGGATGAATAAAGTATAATATAGTCAGGTTGTGTAATACTGTACAGCAATGAAAAAGAATAAATCACCATTATCCACACAACATGGGAAAATCTCAGCCACAGCAGTGAGCCAAAAATCCCAGACACGAAAGAGCTCACTCTCATATAAAGTTCAAGTCCAGCCAAACTAATCGATGATAGTGGTTACCTTTGGGGGGGGGGTGTTCCTTGGGAGGGGGCACAGGGGCTCCCACTAGGGACAGGAAATGTTCTCTGTTGTCATTTGGGTCCTAGATACATAGGTGTGTTCACACATGAAAACACTCGTAACTGGCACTCAGGATTGCACCCTTTACTGTGTGTGGTTCTACTTCATTAAAAGGGAAACTAATAAATTACGATTTAAATTATAATTTTTCAATTATAATAGATTGTAATAAATAGGTGCAGTGAAAGGTAGGTGCTCAGTAAATATCTGCTGAGTGAATAAGCGAGTGAATGAATGAACACGTGCATGGAACAAAACCTTTGATCCCAGCACTACCTGGGGCCAGCCATACAGTGACCCACGCAGGTCCCTTTACAGCTCTGTCTCTAGCTCTCGTTCAAACCTCAGACTTATCACTGTGCAAGGTCCCTGTCCAGATTAACCAGGACATGCAGAGGGGATGTCCTGCTTGACCAACTCCGTGTGCACTGTCCATGCTGGCCATCTCTGACACTCTGTTCCACCTGCCCCAACAGCCTCAGCCCTGAGTCCCAGAGACCCAAGAACTGGAAGGTGGCTTCTAGGAGGAAGAGGTCACACTAGAGCGCCAGACAGAGGAGCGCTGTGGCTCCTGCCATGCATGCAGAAGGCCTACTGATGTCCTCGTGACATTCCCCAGAGCCACAGCAGAGATGAAGCCTGCACCCAATTACTCATTGGCCCTGCCCTGCACTCAATGCCCAGTGCTGCGTGGGGGTCGGGGCTGCCACGAGGGCCGCTGGAGGTACCAGGCTCCCAGGGCTTCTTGGGAAGGGATTTTTTTCCACTGGCTCTGAACCAGAAGGCCTGGGGGAGGACAAGGGTAGACAGAATGATCACGCTGAGCAAGGAGGGAGACAGAGAACTCTGAGTTGGGGGAGAAGCCTGGGTTGAGTCCTCCTGAAACACAGCAGCCTGGGTTGAGTCCTCCTCCACCAAACACAGCTGGTTCCTGGGACCTGTTCACAAGGCCTGCTGTGGGAGGCAAAACCAGCCACCTACATCCCTCCCCCCACTCTCTCCCCACCCCTGCGCCCTGTGTGTCCGGGCTGAGGAGAGCAGGACACAGGCGGCCAGACAGTCCGGCAAGGGGCCAACTCACGGTCCATACCTTGACATTCTCCTCCGTGAGGCCCTTCTCCACCGAGTCCGTCACATTCTGCCGGATGCGATGCAGGAAGGCCTGGAGGAGAGAAGCAGGCAGAGGTGAGTGTCCAGGCCGGTGAGCTCTGGGGAAGGTCCAAAAATAGGGTTTCACATTCAAATGCCAACTAGGACCTGGGAGGTGCCGCGGCCCAGGAGCACAGGCAGGGAACAGGGAAGCGCCTGCTCTGCCATTCAGCCAACAAGTGTTGACCGAGCGTCTGCTACGCCAGCCCTGTGCGGAGGACACTGCGCAAGGGAGACAGACCCACGTCTGCCTCCGTGCCCCCGGGGCCCTGAGATATCACGCATTCCCCTTTTCTTCTTTTAAAAACGCTGACCTCTAGATGGTAACATGTTCACAATGTTCAAAAGCTAAAAAAAATACAAAAAGCCTATTCCCCGGCCCCCACCTGTCAGGTCACTCCCACCCCCGTGGGAACCTCAGCTACCAGCTAATGAATATCCTTCCAGAGAACCTGTGTGCAAAATAAGCACGCACCAAGATACACACACACACAAACACACACACACACATACATATATACGTATATTCCTATTTTCCCCTTAGACACACCAACACCAGCACACAGGGGCCCTGCGCCTGCTCCTCCCAGCAGCGGCTGCGTGAGCACTGCCGTCATCCCTGGAGCACTGTCCTGCCCTCTTCATGGCTGCCAGGGCCCAACCAGATGGATGGGCCACAATCGTTCTGCCACTTCTTCCAGGGGCTCAGAACAAAGAAATCACTTCTCTCCTCCATGCGGTGACAGCCAGTAAAGGGGGGAGCGGAGTTCGCCCATGGAGGGGGCCGGCTGCTGGTCCCGCCCCCTCCCCCCACACCCACTCCCCCACCCCGCATGTGCAGGTAGGAGGGCGGCAGGTCCAGCAATGCAAGATGTTCCAGGGAGTCTTTCAAGAGAAGCCTGACATGGAGATTTTTTTAAAGCAAAGTCTCCATTTTTTTAAGCGTTGGCCACAGGGTACTCTGAGTTTGTGGGGGACTGCATTTGAGGGGTCTGTGTAAAAGTGAGGGGCCCACTGGAAAGGTGGCAGTGGGTGTGGGAGAGACCGAGAAGGAGGGGAAGAGCTCCCCAGAAGGTCCTGGGGATGGGCAGAAGGAGGAAAATGAGCCCAGGTTGACCTAGCAAGAGCCACGCGGAGATCTTCGCGAAAATGACCTCACAGACTGTCACGGCCACAGGGCCACAATGAGCTGTGGTGGCCTGTCAGTGGCTGTCCCTGCCACGGCTGATTACAGCACAGGGGTGTGAGAGGGAGGGGACACGCTGTCCCTGTCACAGAAGCCAGACACAAGTTAATTAAGAGTGTGTCTCATCCAACCACGCTTGTCTGGGGAGATCTCCGAATGGCGGGGAGATGAGGGGGCAGCTGAGGATTGAGGGACGCAGGGGCAGGCGGGCAGAGAGGAGGCTGGTCCTCCACGCACGGCTGTCATATCCTTTTCCATCACACAGAGGGACATCCACAGCCATCACGGGAGCCAGTGATCCAGACACAAGTCTCCTAGGAGGTGGCGCATTGGTGCTCCACAGCCTGGACATCACCCCTGAAATCCAGGCTGTGATCGGCCCACCCTACATCTGCACCTGAAAGTCCAAGAGGCATCTCAAACTTAACTGGCCCCAAACCTAGTTCCTGATCCTCCCTCCCAACCCGCAGCACCAAGCTCTGCCCAGCCTCGTTTAATGGCACCTCTGCCTTCACGGGGCACCAGCCTTACACACACAGCCCAGTCATCCTAGATCACCCTCTTCCTCAGACACTCCATTTGTTTGCCCTGGAGTAGTGTCTGACACATAGTAGGTACTCAAAAATCAAGGGAAGGGATGGAAGGTACCCGGCACACGGCAGGAAAGGACGGCAGGTGGAGGAGACCAGGGACAGGAGTCCCTAGAGGATGGTTCAGCAGGGCCTGCCAGAAAGCCCAGCCTCCAGCCCCCTCCCCAGTCCTGGGACAGCAAAGGCAGCCTCAGCAGGGAGAGCAGGAAGCTGGGAGCACAGCTCAGCTGGCCTAGATCAGGACTTCCTGTCCCGCGCACCCCACACGAGCCAGGCCACCACTATTGTGCGGGCACAATGGGAGCTCGGGCCACCCACTGAGGAACTGCAAACAGGCCAGTGTGAGGGGCACCGGGGGCAGCTCGTGACCAGGAAAGAATGGGCAGGCAGGGGCTCTGGGCCCAGGCCTCCTGCTGCCCAAGGCACGACCAGCTTTATGGCGCCAGTGCCCTCTGTACAGACGGGCTGCTTAAAGGGACCCTGGGGGGCGGGGGCCCTCCCTGTCCGGGCCTTGACAGCTCGGAACACACGGCCAAAAGCAGCTCTCATCTTGGAAATCTCCCTTGGAGACAAGACTGTTCTCAGGACTTCCAGGGCTGCCTGAGCCGCTCCCCTGGCTCAGAATCTTTGTCCACACCACGTCCAGGCTGCACCCCCGCCGGGCCACTTCCCCGGCATCTGCCCAAGTCCTCCGCTTCTTTTGATGATGATGATGATGATGATGAAATACGTCAAGGAGCCAGAAAAGGATCAAGAAAAATGTAACACCCACCCACAAATGCATCCGCAGCCAGCTTCGGCAATTCTTAGCATGCCAAGTTTGCTTTAAACCACTTCCAAGAAGGAATTCATCGAGTCGAGGGGAGGTGTGGACTGGGAAGGGGCACCAGGGAGCCCTCGGAACCACTCCGCATCTCCATCTGAGCGGAGGTTACCCAGTGAGTGCAAACACAAAGTCTCACTGGCGTGCCCCTAAGGTTAGTTCATGAACCCATGTGGCCACGTGACTATCAGGACTCACACAGAAAGGGGGAGAAAGGAAGCATAATGGCAAGAGGAGTCACCTGTGCACCTACACACCCCACAAGGCACCCGCCACCCAGGATATAGGGTCCTCATCCCCACACACGCCTGTGCCGGCAGACCGCGCGCATGTGAACTGATATCTTGCATGTTTATAATATTTCTGTTATTGTTGTGCATTCAGCAACTTTTCTCACTTAGCCTCACATCTTCCACATTTATCCACATCGACAGGTATATCTGCCAGCACCTGCCATCCAGACCCCTTTGATTCTCACTGCTGGGGTGCACACTAGGACCACGTCCAGCCACCAGCACCCTTGTCTCAGTCTGAGCGCCCTCTGTCACATGCAGGGCAGGCTGGAAAGTCAGAAGGAAACTGAGGCACATGCTCAAGGCCACTTCCCTGAGTGTCCCAGGGATTAGGCTCCGGAGCCCAGAGGTGCTCTGCCTGATGACACACCTTTCTAGACTGCCCTCCCTTCCTGGCCTGACTCCCCGCCCTCTAGATGACTTCCCAAATAAACTTGCCCTTGACTCAGTCTCAGGATCTGCTTTGGGGAAGCCCAACATTAGGACCTCAAGGTGTACATTTCATTGCTGTGTGCTCAAAATGAGCAGGATGTAGCCACTATCATGCCATGGGATTTAAGCTGCTTCAATGCTACAAAGAACAGGTGCACTGGGGCCCAGGTGTGGGAGACCCTCTAGATGCACACCTAGGTGAGCAAAGGTGGGCCACAGAGTAGAGACAAGTTCGACTTGGTGAGTGGATGCCAAGTGGCAACAAGCCCACCCAGCAAGCAGTGGGTAAGAGCTCCCATTTCTTTCTACCCAGCCAGACAAAACCCCATGTTCTCCTTCCTTCATGCAACAAGCATTTGCTGAGACCTGCAAAGACCCCTCATAAATTCATTTCCAAGCCAACCAATCAGCTTTCAGGCCCCATTTGACAGATGAGAAAAACTGAGGCCAAGAGGGTAAGAAACCTAATGGAATTCACGTGGGCAGAAACCAACAGTGTCAAGCCTGAGAGCCCAGGGTTGTCTGGCTCCTGCTTGCTGCTGGGAGGAGGCGACCAGAGATGCCACTCAGAGAGCCTGACCAAGGTGTATCCATGGTCCCCAGAGTTCTAGGCTGAGCAGGAAGACACTCTGCGATTGATTAGTGATGTCTGCCAGGGTTGCGGAATAAGAGCAGCAGTCGGGTTGTGTGTTTGCGGTCTCCAGCAAACTCCTACCTAACCAAAGATCCCAGAGAGTAGGAGAAACACTGGTCTGAGGACCAAAAAGTTGATGATAAAATACAGATCAGAGTCAGGCCAGCCTTGTCCTACCCCACCTGGCCTCAGAGCAGAGGTTCTCAATTTGGGGGTGACTATGCTCCCCAGAACAGCACTGACAATGTCTGGAGACATCTGTGGAAGAGGCGAGGGAGAAAGAAGAGGAGGAAGAGATGAAGACAACATGACTATTTTTTTTAAAGAATACTTAACATCGCTGGTCTGACTATGTGCCAGGTACTGCTTTAAGTGTTTTAATACTCAAACAATCCCAGGAGACAGGTACTATTACGACTGTGCCCCTTACAGAAGAGAGAAGGGAGGCCCAGCACAGAGAACTCACCCAAAGGCACACAGCTTGTAATTGGGGGAGCTGGTCCTCAAACCCAGGGCATCTGGCCTGGTGAGGAGTACCCACCCCCAACACACACCACAAGTGAGTCATTGCAGACAACAACCACATAAGCATAAAACAGACAACAGCTGCCCGGGGGGTGCCCCTGGGAGCTGCCATCTGTCTGGGACCTGCAGCCACAGCCTTGGGAGGATAAAGCTCTCCCTGGAGATAAAAAGGGCAGAAAGAGATGTGGAAGTCAATCTCTGAGAATGATGCTGGCAACCTGATCTCTGAGGGGAGGGGGCCCAGCTGCCCCAAGGACATCCCTGCCTTAGGGGGTGACCTCACCAGACAGATGGCGAAAACTGAGAGGGTCAGGGGACAGGCAAGAAATAAGGGAAGGTAGGACTACCCAGACCGCAGCAGGACAGAGGGAAGGGGTACCCCGGGGAGACTGTCCCTGAGGTTGGGGTGGCCTGGGGTCCAGGGAAGCAGAGCGTCCTGGAACAGCAGGGGCCTTGGGTGCAAGTCACAATAATAAAAGAATAAGAGCAACAGCAGAGAGCCTGGCACAGTCGGCCTCTATACACTGAAA